GGGGGTGGTGGTGGGCCTCTAGCTCGTTTTTGCTAAATTAAACCTTAAATTAACGGTATATGATTGGAAAAATTTGAAGTGTCTTCAAAGTCTTTATAATTGCTAATGATTATAGAGACTTTGGAATATACTTACGTATTAGTAAGTATGTTTGGTAAAAACGGGCTGAAAAATTAAAAAAACGTAATTTCGTAATTCCATTTTTATGCAGGCGCATATTATAAGACAAAATTCGCTAAATTAACTTAATTGAATATTCAGTTTGGAGTTTCTTAATATTCAACAATTTTTATTTCTACAATAGGAGATGAGAAATTGAAATTTTCTTTTAAGGATCCATTTATAAACATTGTATCATTAAAAGATTTATTAAATAAAAACGTAAAGATTGTTACTACAGTACCAGAATTCGGATTTTCTTGAAATATACACGAACATTTTTTAATTAAACATTTTTTAAATATTGTGTGCTGATTGGGTCTTGTACGGTTCACCTTTCTTCTTTTTCTTTCCATGTTAGAAAGAAAAAGAAAAAAGATAAACCATGCAAAAAATTCAGCTTTGATATAATCTAATTAATTATGACATGATATAATGAATGGATAAAATACACGAGCGTCCTACATATTTTGCGCATAAAATAGCAGCTTTCTATTGTATTACAATAATATTGTATGTATTATATATTGTATTATATAAATATTGAATTGTATATATATCAGACTGTTACTAACTGTGCGTATTACATTTATAAGATCATAATCAAAGTAATTAAGAAATAACTAAAATCGACTGTAATCTGCAGAATGTGGAAAAACAGTATAAAATATCAACTATAAAATATCAAAATTGTGACATTATGTTTTAATTAAATTCTGAACGATAGAGCACAAGCTCGAACGAACGAGCAAAGAGCAAGAACTAAATTATTGCATGAATATGTGGAAATCGAAACATATTTAACAACACACAGCGAATTGGATGCACTCGCAGTGCGCACTGATGCACGTCAATTAAAGACGTCGTAAATTGAGACATATGTTTATCATAAACATAGAAACCGGTTAAATCGTGAAATACTTCATTGTGTTATTAGGGAAAATATGTATTTTATAATTTTAAATGTTTGCTTCTCACTTTTACACTCAGATTAAATCGGTGTATAACAATTTTTATATGCACCAGTGCGCACAAGTACAAGTGCTCCCAATCGAATTCGCCAACAATTCTTCTTTATTATCTTGATATTATCTGCGAACGAGTCCAGCGTTATGTAGCACATTGTAAATCTTTTCCTTTGGGATTTTGTCCGCCTCTCGATCGATTACCTGTAACATTAAACGAACATTCTAAAAAAAAAACTAACTGCAAGTGGCCGTAATTATTTCTATAGTGTTAAAATATAACGAATTTATTAATTGTGATGTTAATGATGCAATCTTATAATTATACTTATATAATTCTCAAGAAGCGCATAGTATGCTGTAACAATAATACAAATAATATATTATAATTTATACAATTTATATACATAGAGAGTATTAATTCATTAAAAAAAATCAAATGGTTAGATTAATAATAATAAGTGTTGAAGAACGTTTAATTGTTACGTTTCATCTGTTTAAATTACCAAAATTATATACCTGCATTTCCTTATCGATAAACCAGGATTCCTTAGCGAGACCAGCAGCAATACTTGGATTTTTGTAGAAATTATTTCGTAATTGATAAGGTAAATTATCTTCCATCTCAGAATTAATTATAACAGCTGGATGGGTGAACATCGTTCCGGGATTTAGAAAAAGAATTGGCGTAGCTGCGCAAGTTGTCACCATTATGAACAAGATAATATTTGTGCAATTAGTTGGCATTTGTGATGCTCTGATACTTCCCTAAAAAATTTTTGGACTGAACTTTCGATAATGACCCACGCCTAATTGCTATTAATTTTGGCAGAAATACTCTGAAATGAATGTTCTTAAATGAATTTTCACCGGAAAAAGATTTAATGCCGAAAATGTTTAAATAAAGTTATATATTGCTGGAGTGGAGTTTCTCAATGATACCCCCCTCCCCTCCGCTCAAGGGCATATGACTCGCAAAGCGAGATCCACCCCACCAATAAAATTCTGCTAAAATTCATGGCAATCGGACGTGGGTCATTTTCGGAAATTTACCCAAAATTTTATATAATGTAAAACTTTTAAAAAATAATTGTCTTTAAAAGAATTAAGATTCTTATTAATAAAGTTAATTATATCTCTAACATAATTAATTATATCACTAACATAATAATTATTTACACTCAAAAAAGTGATCTTGTAATTATAGCGAAAATTGTCTAAGTACAAAAAATAGCTAAAATAGATAAATTTCTAGCAAATACTGCGATATTGGATATGTATTGCATCTAATTATATAGATGACAGAGATAGAATTTAGATTTGTGCTATGCGTATGATACATAACTTTCTATCAGATACAAAAGCAGCTATAATTCTAGCTGGAGTAGCAAAATATTTTTTTGCGTGTAATAAATTAAAATTATGCTGAGACATAATAGTCTATTATTAATAGAAGTACGGAATGAGCTATTTTACTTTTTAATAGCAATAAACCATATTCAGTGGCTACTATTGGAAAATTTAAATTTTTCTTAAAATTAAAATTACGTCGTTTAATAATAATTCCATAAATAGGAATTACATATGTTGAGAGACATAAAAATAATATTTTATATATATTTCTATTTCTACTACGTCTCGACACAATTTTAATTTTCATGTAATTATTATTATTTTATATATATTTTATAATTAACAAAATCAAATATAAACTAATAAATTTCATTTAAATGACATTTGTATGTAGCACATAATGTCTGAATTCCAAAAATTCATAAAATGGAACAGAAATTAAATTAAGCTAAACAAATATATAAAAATGCAACAAATAAAAAATTATTTACAAAAGCATAAAGTGTATTTTTATAGCAATTATATCGCGACATAATTTTGATTTATCAATAAAAATTGTAATCCTTTTTAGACAAATATTTTTTAAAAGTTTTATATTAGACAAAATTTTTTTATTATTAAATAAAATTTTGTCTAATATAAAACTTTTATTATTAATTATTAAATGAAATGGTTATTAATTATTAAATAAAATGGTTGCTATAAAAATACAAATCTTTATGAATATCGACCAAGATTTCGTATTATAATTCACTTATAATTCACCGTTCAGATGCTATTTTTTTTTTAATTCACTAATAATTCACCTTTCAGATACTATAAAGATTTGCAGTACTTTGCAACGAAGTGGCGTTTACCTCGCGTGTATTTAACTGAGCACAAGATCGGTGAACAGGACTTATATATGTATAAGCGTTGCCTGACCAGTGTTCTTGATACGAGTTAAAATCATATTCGACAATTCAACATCCATTGGTCGTTTACTAGCCCGTGCAAAGACTTCGTTGATTCCTTTCATGTTTACCTTCAGTTCAAGGTTGCTAATCCTCCGTTAACTGAGTCAAGGGTGATGATCTTTCCAACTCTTACTTTGACCATATAAATATTGCGAGGTGCACAATGTCTGTCGTACATCAATTTTATGAATGCAATAGGCCCATCAGATATATATCTTAACGATGTTATATCTTAACTCTTAATTAATTGCCAAAAGTATCCAGTAAATGTAATTGTGTACAATTTAAATATTAAATTCCTTGTACGTGCCTGAAAAAGAGTTCGATCTCAAATTGGGAACGAAATCAAATCGAAAGCCTACTTTATCATTCTCACAATCGAATTCCAGATGCATTTGCAATACTGGGACTGTTTTCCGGCTTGCGTGTCACGTTTCGCTATAATGCAGTCAAAACCGGATTTAGTTCTGGTTAATTCGTGCCAGTTTTCAATCGCGGGCGTTATATCATATCGAGAACGATAGTCATTAATTCAGTGTTCAACCCTCTTCTCCTTCTTTGAATTTATTTTAAAAATAAATATGTATTTAATTTTAAAATATAAATATATAAAAAAAGTAAATGTAACAATTTTAACGAAGTCGATATGTTTTAATTTATAGATTTTTTAAAGATTTATGTACCATTATTAATTATATGTATCTAATAAATACTTTATATAATATTAATTAGGATTACATGCTAATTTTAATTAATTGATTTAATATAAATTTACATTAAACTGTCCACCTATAATGTACAACAAGTATTTATCATTGCTTGTAATCAATATATTTTAAATATATTTAAAAATATATGAATATATAAATTATATTTTCTAAATTTAATCTAAAATATAGAAAAATATAAAAATTTTAAAATATATTAAAGTTAATATTATAAAAATATACGTATTTGCACGATGTTACGAGTAAGTAAAAGAACATTTTAAGAATTAATTCTATGTGTTGCTGATACAATTTTATACAATCCTGTGTAATTTATTTTATATCCTTCTTGCGTATAGAATTGTTTTGTACCGTTTTATGATTTAATCATTTGTGATTTATATAATTACTATTCTACAAACAAAATTCTTTCAACAAATCGGAATAAATCTCATGATCGAAACTGTAGATGAGAGGGAATGGAATCATTATTGCATTATTGAGGTCAATGTTATGGTCTTATAAATAACTATAGTACAGTGGTTGTCCTTGCCAAGTAACGCAGGAAAGTTTCAGGAAGTTGCTAATACTATCACGGATCACACATATAATCAGTCTGTAGAATTTGAAATATAAAATTTTAGGTTGCTTAAAACCATTGTTTTGGATTTGATACATTTGTTGCTTTTCTATTACATTACACACATGCAGCATATAAAATAAGATGACCAAACAAACCTTGATATTAATAAAAAAACTGAAGGAGAAAGACGTAGGAAAAATGATATACATTTTGAAATATATACAAAAAATTACGCAAATTAGAGTATTTATTGTTATTCTCTTATACAATTTTTAGTTATTGTAGAAAAAAATATTATCAATTTTTGTTTAAGCAGGATACTGTTACATATAAAAGAGATACTTTTTCTTTTAATAGTATACTACATATGTATGCATTGTATTTATGCATTATGATAATATAAGTAGCACGAATCATTTAGCTTTCAATTAAATCCTAATAAACATATTTAACATTTAAACACATTTTTTCATTAAAATTGATTTGATATTTAGGAAGAATCCCGTTTGCCCACATCACCTCGCGGAAACGAGGCGTTGTCGGCACTCGCGGAAACGAGGCGTTCTCGGCACTCGCGGAAACGAGGCGTTCTCGGCAATCGCGGAAACGAGGTGTTTTCGGCACTCTCGCGCCCCGGGAAGCGAGTTCCCGGGGTGCACTCGCGGAAACGAGGTGTTCCCGGCCCTCGGACAAATTTTGGGTCACTTCCTGAACTCGTATGAATTTTGGTCAGGTCGACGACGATGGTCCGACGAAGTTGGTTCGACGAAGGTAGGTCGAGAAAGTTAGGTCGAGAAAGATCAGATGATTTGGTTTAGGTTTAGGTTTAGGTTACCGGTATTTTTCCGGCACCTCGTTTTGAGTTAGCAATTTTTATGGGGTCCCTGACCCATGGCCGACTCAGCGGTAGGGGTCCCCCTCCGTCCGCCCCCCCCCTCTCCCCTGTAATTCGTTTTATGTCGGAGGAGGGTCAAAAATGTCGGAATTTGATAATTCTGGACACGCTATCTTATAGATCTCGACGAGCCAAACACAATGCCGGGTCCACTTTTGCCCTAGGACCAACCGTTCGGGAGATAGAGGGCTCTGAAGGGTCAACTTGAAAAAAAATTTTGGAATTTCAAAGGTTTCATAATTTTTCTGTAATGCCGGGCCCGAGACAAGAAGATTGACCCCCCGGACCACCCATCTATCTCTCACCGTTTGGGCTGGCTAATTCGTTTTATGTCTGGAAAAGTAGTTTTTCGAGGCTAGAGGGCAGGGGGGTCGCCGGAGGGGGGTGGTCACCATAAGCAAAGTTGCTCGGCTCACCCCCCCCCTAAAAAATCGATTTGACTTTGACCTGACCTCGATAACGCCACCCAAGGTCAAACTGATAAGATCAGTAAATAAATCATTTTAAATCCTACAATTTTTATATGAAATATTTATCTCAGAAATGCTTACTTTTCAAGATATTTAAGAGATCCGAGACTTTTTGTACACCCTGCATAATACATATATATGTATATCCATGTGACTCTATCGAATAAAAAAATAAATTATTGGAAATAGTTTTCGTATTTTCATAATTATTTAATCGATTGCCCTCATTTATAAAATGTTTATCGAATCGCTATCGCTATAATAATCATTGCAGTAATAGTATCATTATACAATACATGTGTAATAAGATGAAGGGCATATTACGCATTTATATTACATGTTTAAACACAAACGCACAATCACTTAATCATTTTTATATTCTTTTCAGATTATTACTTTTTTCTTTTATTTATGATAATTAGTTTTTAAATGATTGTATTAATATATAATATAACACAGAACAAATTTTGATCAACATTTTATTTTTCAATAAGTAATGCGTTTCTTGTAAGATGTTTTATTGAAAAAGGATACGTTACTCAAAAAATTCCATCACTGTTCAGTTTTTAGAAAATTATATAAGAAATTCAAAGCGAATTTCTTATATAATTTTCTAAAAATTGAACAGTAATAACGCAAATGTGATGTATTGTAATAGTAATATAAATATAGTATAGAGCTATAAGAGAAAAACCTTTTAGAATATATGAAAATAAATGTGATGTTATAAAACCTCTTTTTTATGAAAAATTTTAAATGATATGTCAAATTAAGTAATAAAATTTTTAATATTAAACTTACACTGATTTATAAGGTTTTTGGTTTTCCACATCTGAATTATGATTTTTATGTATTTTAATCCGTAAAGCAAAAAATAAGTTTAAATTATTTAAAGTTATTTTTGAAATAAAGTGCTTCATGTCTTAAAATCTAATGGAATTTCTTTTTGAAATCTTTTTGTAATCTCGTATTCTTTTTTTTCAGCAGTTAAAAATAAAAATCACTATTCAGATATTAAGAAGCAGAAACCTTGTAACACAGTGTACTTAACGATGAGTATTAATGATGCATTTAATACTATTATTTGCTATGAACTGTTTGCTATGAATAATATTATTTGCTAGGAAGATGCTATGATAAAATAATTGAAATTGATTCATATAAAGTTCTTGCATGTTCATTTTTTTGTATTTTCTATTTACATTTTTTATTTATAAATAGATATATAAGAATATTTATAAATAAATATATAAAAATATTTCTCATTTCCGTAATATGTAATATTTTGTTTTATGTTGATAAAAATTTAAAAAGAAAGATGTAGAAATGAATAAGAGAGAATAGAAAGGAAGTATTACCTTCTACTATGAAGCAAAATTTTAAAATAGTTTACGTGGTTTTAAAATATTTTTATTAATTAAAATTCTATTATTTACAAAAAAGTATAAATTAATAATCATTTGACTCAGCACCGTCGCATTTAATATCTACTAGATAATAGATCGCGCGCAAAGTGGATTTATTGTAATATTCTTTCGATTATAAATTATATTCTGTTTGTTATCATCATATACATCAAGAAAATATTTCTTTTAAATTATATTCATCTTTTTTATATATGGTCTACAGATTTCCCTAAAGTTTGCTATAGTATATTTGTAACTTTATAAAAGAATTTATTTTACGCTTTCCGTACAAAATTAACGTAGCTATCTTTGACTACGTTTACTCGGCACCCTTAATTATATAAGTTTAAAACGAAAAAGAGAAAGAAAATTGTATCATTTGATAAAAAAAAGGAATTTATAAAAGAAATAGATTTAGACTAATAGTAACGTTCAGGTTCCTCTAAATGTCATCATTCTTTTACGATAATAACGAAGACGACAACGAAGACCTATCATTCGTTACTCTTAAGTGGTGATTGTCTGGTGCCAAAACTGGGCTCCAAGGGTATCAAGTAAGTGACTTTCTCGCTAGCATTAGCGTCGTCTTGTTTGAGAATAGGTGCATTCTTTCTGGTGGGTCTTTGCGATCGAACCTCTTCATATGTAACGTATTCAGGCCTGACCGTCGGTCGCTGTTTCTTCAAGTAGTACACTGTAGAAGTATTCTCCGGCACATAACTCTGCTGAGTCGGTTTTATCGTTTGAGGTACCGGGGTGACGGTGTAACCAGAATTAATTAGAACAGACAACTCTTCTTGCGTCAGAGGCTGCTGATCCTTAGGAGAGGGAATACGTACG